TATAACTCATACGGAGGGGGGGGGGGGCTTTTTTTTTAAAGAAGGAAAAGGAGTTTTGGATAAAATAATTACCCCTGAATTATTGTAGGAGATATCAAGTGCCCCTGAGTTCCTCTCCTGTCACAATGACCAGAGTTTGGTGGAGATTATTGTTACGAGGATTATATCAGCTGTTAGGGAAACAAACTCCATTCAACAACATGCAAGGTAACGATTCTTCAGATTTTTGTTCACAAGATTTAAGACTATTTGGTTGCTTGGCTACGGCTAAAATTGTTGATGATTGATTATTAAAGGCCTGGGTTCATTGATAGTTTAATTTAATTGTTTTAACTGTTAATAAATTTAAAGTTGGTTGATTTTTTTGGTTATTTATATTTGATTATTGATTTATTGATATTTTTTTTATATATTTAAATTTGTTGTATGAAATTGTTGACTGTTCAATGAAATAATGGTTGAAAAATTGACCATAATGTTTGTTGCTGGGTTGATAGATAAATCTATTTTTTATGATTACTTGAATGTCAACATTTTAATTGATGATTGCTTGATTGATTGGTCTAATTATTAGTTATTTGACTGGATTGATTGATTGATTGATATACATATTACATTTATATAGATGTCTGGTTCAGCTTCTCCAGTCTTGTCTAGCACACAGCCTTCGTCCCGGTAGTAAAGGAGACCCGCCACATGCCAAGGTGAGGTTTAATTTTCTTCTTAAAGGTATAATTCTGTTATTTCCATCTATATTATTGTTATCACTAGAGAAACCGCAATTTTCAACTAACAAATTTTAGATAGAAATGTGGGGATAACTCCGCAACTTTTGCTGAGATAAACTTTTGAAGGATATTATTTTAAATACCATTATAGAAACTTGAGGGTCCCTTTAAATTACGTCTTTAGTCCCTTTAAAAAAGATAATGTTTACCAAGGTTATAATCAAGGAATGTAAATTACAGTTGCGTATACTCTGCTTACATCTCGAAACCAGTTCTCTCTGGGCGGAATTTGTAAACAGGAATAGGTGCATCAGTGTTCGTTTAGTATCCGAGGAGGTTAAAAGCATTACATTTTGATAATTTTGATAATTCACAAAATAGTTTCCTAAAGACCAGAATATTGTGAGACTTTAGGGTTTATAGGGTTTCAAAGTGTATCTTTAAATGACTGTTATCTCTCACTTCGTGGGTCGCATGTGTCTCATGGACGTGCTGAAGATTTTGATTGTACCGTGTTTAATAACTCCTCTTTATAACTCGAGGTATAGAAGATAACTCCAAATTAGTTTATGTATTTATTTATCCTCTAATCAGGTGATAACTGAAAAAACAAATCACAATTAGATNGGGGGGTTCTTTCATTATTTGCTTTTACATTTAATTGGTGGTTCTTAATTTCTTTGGTAAAGGAAATAAAATCATTAATTATCCTTAATACTTAATAAATAAAATGTTATGGGTCTTCCATGTCATTATAAAGATGATATTAAGTTACACTTAATTGAATTAATGAAAATAAAAGAGATCATCAATGATTCATTCATTAAAGTTAAAAGAGTCATAAAGCCTTTTAAACAATTGCGCACGTTTCAGACTGATCACGGTTACTTCTAGCAAGATTCTTTAAATCTTAATTTTTAGAGAGAAAAAATAAATGTGTCACCAATACTATGAAAAAGTAGTAAAATGTTTCATGCACAATAAATATTAAAAGAAGGTTCTATTTCATTTTTTACCTGTTTAAACTTGGTAAATATTTAGATGGCAAGTGATATAATGTCCTGTCTGTTCCTAAACTACAACAAGAAACCGGTTATGCTACTGGCTATCCCTGTAGCGGTCAAATTCCTGCACAAGGGGAACAAAGACCTATCCAGGAATATGTCATCCTACCTCTCCCTCGCTGCAATAGAGAACGCTGATACCCTGGCGGTTCATGTTCAGCCAATATTAGACTCGGTTATATCAGGTATGGTCAATTATTGGTCTCATTTTGATGGAAAATTTATCCCCTGCATTTTTACTCTTGATTTTTGTTTGTATTTTTGAACATTTTTAAAGAACTTTTCGTATATATATATATATATATATATATTTATATTAGTATATATATGTATATATATATATATAAATGATATAGATATATATGATCAGTTAATTTGAATTTGTAAACAGCCTTTATCCAAGAAAGGCTCGTCCATATCCGTATATACCAAATAGATTATCAAGTTAGATAGGCAGATAGGTGGCAACAGAGAAATGGACCAACAAGTGTCCAATATAACAAGGAAAACTAAATTTTCTTACAACAATTGACATGTTTTCCAAGATTAAATAAAAAATTGTAAAAACTGAAAATAAAGAACACATAGAATTGCTCTTATTTTACTGAGCACTTTATCCTAAAATTAATAATTTTTTTCAATCACTAAAAAAAAGTTGACACTTGTGACGTCAGAATAAGACCGTACTGAGAGTGTACAAATTCTACGTTGCCATCTATTGTACGAGAATCTATTTGGTATATGCTATGAAATAATGATTTACTTACGATATGATGTTAAAATCGTTTAAATTAACTCTTGAACCACATTTTATGTGTTTTATTATAGTCCGTGTAAAAAATAAAATCTTTAAATAGATAAAATAGACATTTTAATTTAAATTAGGAAACTACAGTTTATCCCGTGTACTACCGGCGATATTCTCTGTTGACCGTCAGCTGATTAATAATCACGTGATGACCCTGGTTTCTATTCTACCTAATTGTACAGACAGTGATTCCCTCGCCCTTCTAAACCTGTTTGAACTGGTTGCCAAAGAATCACCAGGTACACCAAGAAATCAGTACCATGTACACTTGTACAGTGTACACTTCTTCAGAACCAGAGACCCATTTTCGAATAATCTTTAAAATCTCAATTGCCTTAACTGGGTGTATAAGCAAACATATCTGAACAATTTTGACAAAAAAAAATCTGTGATTTTGTGAGAAAAATGTTACCAAAGACACCGTCATAAACAAACAAAATTTCATAAAACATGATGATATTGTTATCAAAAGATGGGCCTAAAAAGGGGGGAAACTTTTGTGGCAGTAAACGTGTTATCAAAAGATGGGCCTAAAAAGGGGGGAAACTTTTGTGGCAGTAAACGTGTTATCAAAAGATGGGCCTAAAAAGGGGGGAAACTTTGTGTCAGTAAACGTGTTATCAAAAGATGGGCCTAAAAAGGGGGGAGACTTGTGTGGCAGTAAACGTGTTGTGCCGAGAAATATTGTGTGGAAACGTTTGCAAGTGCTCCAGTTTATTTGATTAATGTTATTGTTTTCAGCCTTATTAGAGCCCTCGATACCACAGCTCTGTGAATGCTTGCTTCAACAAACTCTGGCAGCTTCAACGCTTCAGGTATTCAAAATATTCGCAGATTTTTCTGATATTTTTGTTGGATTTTCAACATTTCCGCAAAACAATTTTTTGGCCACCTAATCTTCTCCAAAAAGAATACTTTGTATTGTCGAAAGTGCCAAAAAGCATGAAATGGTAGCTAGAAAGTGTGCAAACATTTTGATTTGCTGATAGCCATAAAGGCTCAATTATCATAATGTAATAATTTGGTAGAGAAAAGTGACAATGTCAAAACTTGACAGAGTAGACATTTATCATAATTTTTAGCGAGAATTAAAATCTATCAAAATTTGGAAGGGAGAAAGTGACAATTACCTGAAATACATAGTGAAATTGGACATTATCAAAATTTTGCAATGAAAGAAATATTTTTATTTTTTGGTAGTACAGAGTGATATTATCATAATTTGGAAGGAGAAATATACTAATAACAGTTTGGTAGTATTAAAAAAAATTTATCTATAGTTTGGTAATGGTAGTTGGAAAAGGAGATCGTTAATAAATAGTGGCGAAAAAAGACAAAGATAATGATTTCTTCGTGAAAAAGGGGTGATTCATATTGAAAGATATTATTTTAGGTGCTTCAAGGAATTGCTCAAGTTCTTCCCCAGTCTCTAGTCGACCATCTTGCCGCATTTAAATCCACAGCGGACAACTTTCCGAAGACGACAATCTCCGTAGTTCATTTACTTACAGTAGTATGTCTCCCTAGCATAGATAAGAGCAGGTTAATTTAATTTAAATTTGGTCCTTTATTAAAGAAGACCATGAAACCATTTGAAACATTAGCTGATCTTTAATATCCTTATTCTAGTCTGCAAATTGTTTAATTCTTACAAAGTCCCCCTCTTTAGTTCTTTAGTGACAGTTACAGAGAAACTACAGTTAAATATGTTAAAATTTCAAATTAAGATACTTGAGACACATTTATACATTTAAAGCTTTTAAGGGAACCGTTGTGAATCGGACATGCCACTATAATAAATGTCTACACATTTTTTATGATAATTAATTGCAGAGAGGTTCTGAAATATCTACTGGAAATAATTTGTAAAGTAGAAGTGGAGAAGCATAGTCTTGTTCTCAAGGTAAGTTATTTTTATCCATCTTCTGGTTGATTGATTGATTAATGTCTTGATTGGTGGATGGATTTTCTGAATGTTGCACCACAAGGTTTGTACACCATTGCTTAGATTATTGTCAACATTGCTAAATTTGTTGGTGCAATGTTTTTAATCATTTATAAGTTTTTTGCTATCATTGCGTGTTTTAAAGTAAAATAAAAATTATAGAAAGTCGTTCATTTATACCTTTACATGAAAATATACATGAAGATGTAAATGAATCATGTAAAAAAAATTCAAGGTATTGAGCCCCCCCCCCCCCCTAGATTTATATCTGTATACGCCCTTGTGTTTAGATTTAACTTGTTTTTTTGATTTTAAAGGAGGTTGCTAAAATAACCGGAAGACACCCGAGCCTTTTAAATCTTCAGTTGATCAACAAATTAGGAGGTATTGTTTTGTCATTGACAATAATAGACAAACAAAAATCATACAAAATCTTGGTTTTGATTCGGAGAAACAAATTTTAGGCCAAAAAATGACTGTATCCATCTTTTTTTTTCAGGGTTTGAGGAGGGAGCCAACTCTGCCACCAAATCTATGCTTGATGATTTCAGGAATGAATATAATCTTCGTCGAGTAGA